AGAATAAATTTTCGACTTACATTTTACTGGTGTCCAATGTAGGTAAGTTTAAGAAGTCGTAAATGCCATCAAGATGATTGAAAAGACGCCTACTGATGCACAGTTACACTTTAATTACGGCTACACAACGGAGACAATACTCCACGCGTCAATTTATTGTAATTGAGCAAATTTAACAACCAGAGTTTGAAAATTGGATTGAATGCTAAGAATGTTTGTTCCGGTTAAGGATAGAATCAAACTAGCTGGGAAATTCTATGTGGTTGGGTTTTCCCGGACGAGGAAATCGGTAAATTCGTGTGTGTAACATGGAATTGACAAACAGACAGTGTCAAACTGAAACTGATTCAACCGTTTGTTGAAATTGTTTTCGTCTTTTAACCTTTATGTTATCTTGTTTATGAGTTTTTGTTGTGTTGAAAAATGACTTGGGGATAAGTTGTCACACGAGTCGTTTGTAGTTTATTACTGAGGACATTTTGGGAGCTACCCGTGGTTACACGGATTGCGAGCCGAAGGCGCAGGACTGCGTTCGGATCCTGCGCAGCAATTTCCGCATTGATTTTTCCGGCCGGCAGCACCTCAGCGAGGGAGTGAGCAGATACAACGCATCGACAATGCACCAGACAACATGGAAACTGTTGCAGTGTACAGACAGCGGGCGGCTTATCAGTATTATCATTTAGAGTGGATAAATATTGTATTGTTTACTAAATGTAAACGTAAAATTATGTACATAAGATTATTTATGTATTACAATTATTAAATTTGAGAATTTGGATAATTGCTTTTTTTAATATCACAAATCATAAAAAGAACATAGATTTATCTGTTATTTGAACCTTTGTTCAAATTTCTCACTCTAAAGGCTTAATAAATCGGTAATTACTGATTTTCTGATTTTCCAGCATACTCATATTTAGATTTTATTTACAATCTGACAAAAATGACAGTTGATGTCTAAGAAATTCAAAAATTGTCAAAATTTTTGAGAAGTCTCTTACGTCAGGTTGATCTCATCGAAATTAATGTGAATTTCGAGAAGAAATTGCATGCAAATCACTGTAAATCAATAAATCCTCATCGTATAATAAGGTGTCTAAAGTTATAAGTCGGAAAAGTTCAAATAACGCGCAAACTTTGAACTCGCAGTAAATTTGTGTTTAAAAGTCGAGTAAAATATTGAGATTTCTACGTTTAATTCTATTTTTACTGGAAAAAGTGCAAAACTTATATTTTTATAGTTTAAATTGAAGAAGGAAGATCCCCCAGCAAGACATTATTTATATTGTGCATTTATTACACGTATAAGTATTTATTTATACAAAATTCTTAATTTTACGTAATTTTTATGTATTTTTAGTATTTTACCTGAATCTAATATTAATATGGCTTACAATCATATTCGAGTTTATGCAAGAATTAAAAAAGAAAATCAAATGGCTCATTCATCACGAGTAAAATCAAAAATCTTAATTTTACTGCATTTATTCACAATTTTTCATATAATAATAATTTTAGTACGAATTAATATCAGATTGTCCAGATGGTTATGACTCCTTGCAAACGTATTACGGCGGTCAAAATTTCAAACGAAAACGACGCGTTTTTAAGTTTGACAAAGTTTTTGAACCACATTCTTCCCAAGACGATATTTTCAACATAATTGCAAAACCTATTATACACGAGTAAGTTCCAAATGTATTTTTGTATTAAATTTTGTTTTAAAATAAATATTAGTGTGTTTTCCGGCATCAACGCAACAATTTTTGCATACGGAGCGACTGGAAGCGGAAAAACTTACACATTAACCGGTTCACAGACAAAATACGAAGAACGCGGACTTATTCCTCGAACAATCGAATATTTATTTCAATTGGTCACGAATGTAAATTTTCATATACCTACAAAATGTAATATTTTAGTGCAGATAAAAAGCTTAATCATATTTATTTTAGAAAATGAGCAATTACATGTTCTTCATATCATATTTGGAGATTTACAATGAAAACGCGTATGATTTACTCAACCCGAAGCAAAATATAACGTGCATAGAGGAATTACCGTAAGACTCTCATACTACACTCTTAATTAAATTCTCTACCCCTTAAATTTTGTCCTTTTGGGGAATTTCCCAGACGAGTCATCGTGCTGGAGGACGCGAAAGGCGAGGCGCACTACAAAAACCTATGCCTCAAAGAGGTGAACACCGAGAAGGAAGCCATGCGTTTGCTCTATACGGGTGACAATAACAG